TATATATACTGTTAATTCAATTTGTGTGTCTAAGGTATATAGGGATGAAATTGTGTACAATTTAATACATGCCAAATTTTGAATCAAGCTTTTTCGATTATGTACTCATTGACAGAAAAATGCACTTAGTGATTTTAAAGTTAAAATGTACTACAGTACAGTATATGAAATAACTATAAAATAATATATCAAAATTGTTTAAAAATTGTATGAATCAAATTTGAGCTGAGGTACACTCTCTATTTGGATTGTCAGCCATTAGTAAAAAGCAGCAGTATTTAGCTATTTAGCTATATTATTCTTCTTGCATGTATATAATGGAATTTTTTTAATATATTTTATAAAGCAGGTCATTATATTTAATGACTATTTCAGTAAATCAAGGACTTTTGGAATATATATAATTTATTTATGGCAATATTTTGGTCATATACCATTAAATAAAATGTCCTTATTTACAATTTGGATCATACTTAAAATATAATATGTATCAATATGAAATAATTAGTTGCAATAGAATATAATTAGGGTACAGGCCAAGTTTCAGAATGTACTTTTGCAAGAAGATGTGCAATTTTGTCAGTACCAAAATCCAGGAAATATTATTGTTATAGCAGCAAAGTCTTCAAGAAATTGTTTTTGATTTTCATCCTTTTTTTTCTGTTCTTCGTACAATAGTTTCCAAAACAATTCCCCCAGTTGTAATCTTCCCTCCTCTAATTTTTTATTTTTTGAAATCCTAGACAGATGTAAAATTTTAATATTGAATGCTTCAAAGATGTATTTTACTGTATGTACAAAAAGTAATTTCAAATGTTGGATTCATTTACAGTATTTTTATTCCATGTGCTTTTCTTCATAGGGAAGTCACTTTAAGCTTCCCTGAATAATACTACTAAACCTAGGAGAAATCATTCCTTTATTCATATATATACAGTATGTTATTTAATCAAAGGTGTTCTTACCATGATGTTAGAAAAAGGTGCAATTTGATGTTTATTTTTGGGTGGATATTTAGCTTGTGAAACTAATTTGTAAAAACTTTTAAATAATATAATGTATTCTGAGTCTTTAGGTACTTAATTTTCATGAATTATTTGAAGATGATCATTTATTTTTATTAATTAAATACTAATAATGTGGTCAGTGAATTTGTGTTGTTTAATTGATCTTTCATGTACAGTAGAAAAAAAAACACAAGTACAGAACTGCATCTCCTTAATGTTGTTGGAGCCGTATTTCTAATGTATTACCAAAGAGTGTACTGTATTCCTATCTTTATTGGCAGTATGGCTATTGTTACACCAGTCTTAGACAATTAATAATTCTGAATGGATGTTATTTCCCAATCAATGCATACAATAACATCCAATCAGAATTTGGAATTGGTTTAGGACTGGTGTAACGATAAGCACTGCTATCTTTTAATTGGTCAGTGTCGAAGCCTCCAGGATCTGGTGCCGTTAGTAGAAGAAAAACAGTTTTCAGTTTTACAAATTTTACAATTCATTAACCACATTCCTTATTTGTATACATTCTCTATCCATATTTTCTTTGTTCAACTAGGGAGTTGTACTTAATTAAAACTCCCTAGTTGAAGGTTATAAGCATAGATGTCTTTTTTAATATTTGCAAATAGGTGTATTTAGCTCCAATGAAAATATATAATTATTTTTATTTTGTTATTCATTAAATTTTCATAGTGCTTAATGTTTGCATTTTTTTTTTCACTTCAGAATTTTTGATCTATTATGAAAATTAAGCCTGATTTCCATAAAATTGCTGCCGCAATCAAATTGGCATTGAGTCGACGGTACCATGTATATTCAAGGTATATTTATTCATAAAAACATCAAAAATTTTTCATGGCAGGGGGGTGGGGGGCATATTTTTCTGTAGTGTACACCTACTGCAACACTATAACTTACATTGACCAAACTAATATAACAAGTGTGCAAAACATCCAATATTATATATATGTATATAATTGTATATATATATATATATATATATAAGATTAAAAGGCTACTGAAATACTGAAAAACAACAATGCTGTGAGAAACAATGGCTGGATATCGGTAGAGTGGTAGAGATACAAATTTGATATTGCAACAGCTAAAAAGTAAACGTAAGTAAACAGCCAGAAATAGAACCAGAGCCTTCGGACAACACTATTCCTTCCTTAGTGGCAAGTGAATGAGGGTTGAAAAAGCCAGATAGTATAAAGTGAAAATTTCATGCAAGCATGATTAGAAACAATAGGCTAGGTGAGATGAGAATAAACAGCGTGAACAAGTGAACAGGAAGGCCAAAACTAAACTTTAGATGCATGCCTCTATAAATAAGCCATTCCTTTTTTGATGGTTATGTGTCCACATGACATTTTATTTGACATTATTATATTATTATCATCATCATATTTTTGTTGTTTATAGGCCTATTTCCTTGTTTACCATTCATTAGATTTGCCACTCTGACCAGTTATTTATGCCAATTTGCTTATGTCAGACTTAAGGCCTCCTTATAAACTATTGCTAGTGATAAGACTGTGTAACCT